GGGAGTCTATGGGATTGACTCCCTTTTGCAGCCAGCCTCTAGCGGCCAGTCGATGAATTACAGTTTAAGTCACTTCCGTGTTGGCTTCACGAGAGAGAGCGGGAGGTTGCCGCTTGGGCAACACAAGGGAAACAAGCCTTTAAGCTGTGGAGATTTCGTTATGTTGTAAACATTTCGTTGTGTTGTGGAGATTTTCTTGTGTTGTGCACTACTGGCCGCGCCACCATAAGAATCAGCAAGCTGTACAGTCCTACAGAATGTAGAATGGAAAATTAACTCATTGGTCTATAGGCTAAAGGTTGTTTTTTTTTAAGTTGAACAGCGACATAAAACATAGTGCCTTTTAAGATGTGGTAATGGCCTATACATCTATACATGTTTACATATAAAAAATTATCTAAGTAAAAGGCAGCAGAAAGCAAGAACATGTTCGTTCACACTTGTTATTAAAGGGGTCATATGATGCGATTTCAAGTTTTCCTTTCTCTTTGGAGTGTTACAAGCTCTTGGTGCATAAAGAAGATCTGTAAAGTTGCAAAGACTAAAGTCTCAAATCCAAAGAGATATTCTTTATAAAAAGTCAGCCACACTACTTTGAAAGCTGACGCTCGCGATTATGGTAGGGGGCTTTACATTTCCGACGCGTGCTTGCAGTGTTCGGCCAATCACAATGGACCTACAATAATGTACAGTATTTGAAAAATAATGTGTTTTTTGAACATTAAAGCATGTCAACATATTCTGTTACACCAAATACACAAAATAATGATCTTTAAAATAGCATCATATGACCCCTTTAAAACGCGAGATTCAGCGTTCATAATAAAGCATCAACGCGGAGCGACTGCCAGAGGCATTTTTATATAAAAACAAAAAGTAGATCGCAGCAGAAAGCAAGGCGTTCGTTCACACAGAATGCATACTTGCCTTTAAAATGTGAGACTTAACAAAGTGGAATGAAAGCGTTTTTAAAAATAGGCTACAATAGTGTACTTAAAAAGTCTTAAAGGCAGGGTATGTGATTTTTCAAAAACACTTTAGAAAACTGATTCGGGCCGAATAGCAAAACAAACTTGTAGCCAATCAGCAATAAGGGGCGTGTCTACTCGTGATGTGGAGGAGAGCGCGTTCAGTGCATGGGACGGACATTAGCCGAGCCGAGCGCCCGTCGCGCATGCACGAGATGCTGATCAGCAAAACTAGCGTATGTTTACGATTAAAAAAAATTGCCGTGCAGCACTAAAAACGCTTTCTTTGATTTTCCCATAAAGTTTAAGATGCCGGGTTGTCGTAATAAGGAGCCCAGGGATCACTGTGTGCCGTTTCAGGTGTGTGTGTGTGGGACTGCATCTTATCAACACCAGTGGAGCCTGAGGCAAGTCAAGCGTTCTCTGATTGGATACTGTCTGACAGGTCGAGCTCCAGTCGTGGTTCTCAATCACGCCTGGGATGGTTAAATCACTGGCTCAAAACTGAAACTAAGGATAGCAAATTACCAGATCAAGTTCTTTCTTATACCATGTCATGCTTTGCTGAATGGAAGCCACTAGATTTCACGTAGAGGGCAGCACCCAGTAGGGGCCATTTCTTTCAATATCAGGTTGAGCCAGCAATACAATGGCACAGATTTGCTAGCTATTCTTAAAGCAGGTTTGGTCCAGCTCAAAGCTTTGAAACTTGTTGAACAATGCTTTTGCTGAACCTTGATGGGTACTTTAGCCCATGAATATTTAACAATGGACATGAATACTGACATGTGGCCTGTGGCTAGGCACCTGTTAACAGTCCTGATGTGGAAAGCAGCAAAAACAACATCCAAAGGAATGACGAAATCCTTTCTATTTTAATATAAAACACTTTTATTAACAAATTTTCGATTTAAGCTGGACTCGTTGGCATGTAGAATATGGTATTTGTTATTAGCATTATTCGTTAGCTTTTTTGCATATGTTAAATTAATTATTCATGTTAGCTGCAACAAATCTACATATACAGAAAAAAATGTTAATCTGAAAAAATATTCTATTAAAAATATTAACATCACTGAATCCTTTAGGTTACATGAACAAAATTTATTGGTTCAATCAGATAGAAATCGCTCAATTGCAGGTTACCACTTTTCAAGGTTTATATCTGAGAAACTCATATAGTATCAGGCTGAAGGGAGGCTGTGGCAGATGAAATATATTTGGTCTCTTGAGCAATCTGACAGCTTTATTTTTCATGTATTTTGTTATCAGTACAATCTGACCTCAGTAGATGGATGATCCCTGGCTGAAGCGGTGAACCCTTCAAAACAAAAACACAGATAACAAGACTAAACTGCTGTGATAGAACAGAAAAACACATTAGAAATGAAAATACAGGCACACACTTTACACTTGAATTCAGTGAAGTATGGTGCCAGGTTTGAGGCTTATTTTAATAAAGTTCAAAATGAATGAGTAAAACATACATTCCCTTAACAACATATTTACTGCTATTTTCACATCATTGCATTTAAATCTTACAGGAATAGTTTACAGGGAAAAAAAATTACTGAAAATGTATTCACCCTCAGGCCATTCAAGCTATAAATAAGTTTATGTAGATAAGTCACAAGAGGTTAATTGGTTGACTGGAGTCATGTGGATTACTGTGATGTTTTTATCAGCTGTTTGGACTCTCATTCTGATGCCACCTATTCACTGCCAATCCAAATCTGTTCAGATTAAGAAACAAACTCATCTACATCTTGCATGGCCTCAGGGTGAGGTGCTGTTTTATGCCTAAACTGAAGCAGAAACCTTTAAGAGAAATGTTAGACGCACGATCATTTGGAAAACAGGACCAGCTGACAATGAGATGAAACCACATAGAGAAAATGAATCTCTCACCATTGCTGACACAAATATGAGTGTTTTACTTTGGCTAATCAAAATGTTGTGTCTGATGAGTGACTGGAAATGGTTCTTTCCTGCTGATGTACACATATGTCATAATGTAGCCACCGCACATTTACTTGTTTATATTGGTTTATTCCTCATATTTTGCTGAACAGAAGAAACAATAGAGAAACCCAGGTATATAAGGAAAACGTCCTGTTTCCTGCAGGATCGACGCTGAGCTGGCACAATGGATTGCTAAAATTTACTAGACAATTAAACCAAAGCCTCTAAAAGTAGAAAAATGTGTTTTGTTGTTAGCATTTGCTGCTATGCCCTTAATTTCATTCAGTGCTTACCAGAAGGCAAAAGCAGAACGGTTCTTCAAAGTAAGTCTGGGATTTGACAGGCTCAGAGGGGAAGCTGTGTATTTTAGTAGAGTGAAATTTACACAGCAAATAAATTATTTAGCTAAATCTCTCTGGGGAAACAGGACTGTGAGTCTGTGTCACATGGCTTATTCTTGGTTTTCTTTAAGGCAGATGGAAAATAGAAAGGATTTGATATGAGAGTGTCTGTTGTAACCCAATGGACAAGCAGTTCTTATGTGTGTAATTTCTGAACAATGTAAACGTACAGCTCAAGTTGTTTATTTAAAATCGTTGATCGTGAACATTCAAACAACAATGGAAAATGGTCCCAAATGTTACAAAAATACATACCATGTATCAAGCTTGTTTAAATGTAGATACAAAAATATTCACGTGTACACATGACTGTAAATAATTTGGGTCATGCTTTTTGTGAATTTATTACTTGAAATGTACCGTATGTTGCCTGTGTAGCATGCGGTATGGACATTACTCACTTTCACAGCACAGATACACAGTTAATATATACAACATCCAGATCTTCTGCTGTGCACTTATATATTACGTTTCATCCACATTGATATACAACAAAACAGCACGTCGTTTCAAAACCAGACATAGTCTATTCAGCGCAACTCATTAAAATAGGCACCTTTTCATATATGCATTTATATAAAGTTCACAAAGTACACTGCTAGCTAACTTAAAGTGATATTGAAAATTACAACATTTTAATTAACATTTTTATAAGAATATACATTCTTTATCATGGTAGATTAGAAGTAATCTGGCTAATCACACATTTAAAATAAAAAAATATTGTATGCCATCGGACAATATTGGGCAGTGATTTGAGGCTTTAATTTTTTATTAAATATATTACTATAACCTTTGCAAGCTTGTAGCATTAAAATGAATTTGCTGTACATTCCCTTTATATATTCTATCAGATGTGACTGTACATAATTATTTTACACTCCACTGGAAACAGAAACCACAATCCAGACTGAACTACCTTTATGTGGCGCTGACCCAGTTCGAGTCGCTTTCCGGGACTTCACAGGCCTTGATCTGGCTGCAAGTCCATCTCAATGAGTAAAACTGTGAGACAAGAACATTGGTGTGACAGGGCGGCCTGCTTTTTCGTTTCCCTTTAGCTTGTACGTAAACACAAATATCCTTTTATAGTAGTTGAACAAGCACTGCAAGTTACCACTGAAACTAAAGGATGTAAAAAAATGTTGTCACAGTACAAAGGAAATGCTAAGTTTACAGCATTAGCATTACTGCAAAGACTTACAATACACATAAGTACCACTTCCATTGTTAAGTATAAATTGGTCAATGTGTATTATTCTTTAAGATAAATAATAAGCATTGTCAAAGCCTATGACAGTTATATCAAGCTCCAACAGCGCCGTCTTTGTCATCGTTGATCTCACAATTGATAGTTTGTTCTTCGCACAAAAGGATTTGACATTAGACCATAAAACCGTCAAGTCATGGCGATACATGGCACAATGACACTCAAACAAGCATGCAAACTGAATGTTGACACACCCCGCTGGGATGACTTATCTGGAATGATAGTGCAGAGAAGGGCATTCGGCTTCCAAACGTGCCTAAATACACACACACACACACACTGATCTGAAAACATCATTAAAAAAAACATCACATTTGGTCTCTACAGTGTATCTCCATATATTGGATATTCAACAATCTGCTTTTGGTAGCCTTTTTGTTTCTCTTTTTTTTGTTTTTTAACTTACCTCATAAGCAAAATATATGAGCAGTCCAGGCAAAGAATCCCTAACCTCTTTTTCCTGCAGCGTATCATCAGTCATTCTTGATGATGCTGTTGCTTCTGTGTCCCTGCAGAGCAGAGTTGGCACAAAATGACGGCAAAACTACGATCTCGCTGCTCTCCAGAAGATCACTGTGGCTTTATTTACAGGTTTTATGTGTTGCAGAAGATGATCTGTGCCTGTCCGATATTGTGTTTTTCATACAAGAACCTCACTGACGACTCCTATGGAAACAAATTGCGCTATTTTCAGCAAATGTAGGGTTTAGTAGCTCATCTCTCTGAAGGTCAGAACTGAATTTCACTAGAACACTTCCTGGACATCTTCATGTCCTCTCACGGTCTCATTCTGGTGACAATACCACATCATTATAGATGCTAAGTTAGATTGTGATGGACGTCTCGTCTTGACATGCGGATGCGCGGCGAGTCTTGGGGCTGCAGCGAGTCAGCATGGAGATCTGCGTGCTGAAGTTGTTGCCGTTGCTGCCCATGGATGGGTGCTGGTATTTGGTGTCAGGACCCAGAAACCTTTCGAGGTGCCATCGCCTCCATTTCCTCTTGATCTCAGCTTGGACCTGAGAGAAGGACGAGATCCATTCTAATCAATTGGTGATGGATAAAACATTCTCACTCTACAGTTTTGTACAGAAACTCTACAAGGTACATTCAAAATTTTAGTTCACCCAAAAATGAAAATTATGTCATTAATTCCTCACCCTCATGTCCTTCCAAACCCGTAAGACTTTTGTTCATCTTCTGAACACAAATTAAGATATTTTTGATGAACTCTGAGAGCTTTCTGACCCTGCATAGATAGCAGCGCAACTGACATGTTCAAGTCCCAGAAAGGTAATAAGGACTAGGGTTGGGTATCGTTTGAATTTTATCGATTCCAGTTCTTTTCGATTCCCAGTTTTGATTCCAATGTGATTAAATAATGATATCGAACATTTATCCTGTCTCTTTTTTGCAAACCATTTATTGGAGCTGAATGCCATGAACAAAAATCAACAGGCTACATAAGAAAAGACTGTGAAGCTGTTTCATTCATGAAAGACAGCTGCTCTCTTTAGGTCAATGGCAGCGCGAACGCAAATTTAAATGCTCAAATCACACTGGTGTGATCGTACTCTGCACAAATGAACCAACAAGTGATCACAACATTGATCGCACACGTCAAAAAGGTTGAGGAATGAAACAGACGAATCATTGCTTAAGTATCCGATTCTGGAATCGGAATCGATTCCCAACCCTAATAAGGACATCATTAAAATAGTCCATGTGTCATTAGTTGTGGTACTCTCGTGAACGCACGTCAAAGACTGACATAAAGAGAAGAAATTATTGAATAAAGTCATTATTTTTGTTTTCTTTGCGCACAAATTATTTTCGTAGCTTCTTACAATTACGGTTGAACCATTGATGTCCTTACTACCTTTCTGGGCCTTGAACGCGGTAGTTGCGTTGCTGTCTATGCGGGGTCAGAAAGCTCTCGGATTTCATCAAAAATATCTTCATTTGTGTTCCAAAGATGAACGGGGTGTTGAGGGTTTGGAACGACAAGAGGGTGAGTCATTAATGACAGAATTAAAATTTTTGGGTGAACTATGCCTTTAAGTAACTCTGTAAATAAGGAGCATTAAGGAAGTAAAACGGTTGCAACTGGGTTTTACACAACACTGGCTCATTGGAAATACCTGACTCTAGGCTACATTTCTGCAAAACTTGAAGTATGCATTGTATTTCGCTACACAAATTTTTAGGTGACACATCCACATAAGGCACTATAAGTGATTTAATTTTTACCCCATTGCAAATTAGGGTTTATTAAAAAGCCCAGTGTCATGAAAAAAAAAACATGCTTTCTTTGCAAAATGATATTGCATTGCTTGTAGCACATTTCACAGCACTTTGAAAGTGAAATCTCTAGTGACTGGTGGTACACAGTTTTTGGGATTCTGATTGGCTGCCAATGTTTTTATATGATCAGCTGGAGAAAAAAAAGTTTGAAAGTGATTCCAATGATATCATTCCTTTGTGCTGTTATTGTTCTGGTGGTGTTGTGAACTAAATTTGAACTGATTTTGGAAACTATATCTTTATTGATATTTTTATAGCTATCCTCTTTGGTGTGAATGGGCCTTAAAGGGAGGGTCTAATGCTATTTCATGCATGTTGAGTTATTTACACTGTTAAAGAGTTGGATTCTCATGCTAAACATGGCCAAAGTTTCAAAAAACGATTTTGATGTAGAATTGAATAGATTTGATGCAGGTGAAACTGTGTGTGTTATGTCCCCTTTAAGTGTGAACGCTACCATCCAAACCTTGGTGTGTGCCAAACAAGCAGACGGAGACCCACCTTTTCAACAACAGATTGCTCAAGCATACCTGGTTCTTCTTGTCATAAGAGCTATGTTGCCAGTGACAGTTTGGTATAGGTGTTGGTTTTCAGATGTAAGTAAAGTAAGTTCACAAAATATACGTCCTACAAGCTGTTTCCACCATATCCTTGTGCCTTTTGTTTTGTACCTTTAGGTTTGGTGTTAAAAATGTCAGTTTTTTAAATAAAAATAAAAATTTTGAGTTAAAAATGTCAGTAACATTTTGGTTCAGGCCGAAATCTACTAAGTGTAAATACACCCTTAAAACACCCTTATTATGTTGGTTGATGCACGTATAAAAGCAGTTTGGAAATGAAATGTCTGGTAAGTGAGTCTGAATTTAAAAATAATAATGTACCACCTACATTAAATCCTACAGTGTTAATAAAAGCAAACATTGCAAGTGCAATGATGTACCAGGTGAGTTGTAGGGCAAGTTTACTGCGTCAGAAAAGCCATAAATATGGAGCTGCTTGTGTGATGCAAACATCAAAATGTATTAGTTTACAAATTATGCACTATTGTAAAAGTGTTTTAACATAGGAACATAGTATTGTGTAAAGAACTGCATGAAAATAAGTCTTTATTAATCAATAATTTGCCACCGTAATTATAATTAATTGTTTTACTGCCTCTAGTGTTCACCTGAAAAGTGCAGCGAAATGTATTTCAGGTTTTGCACAAATGTAGTCACTTAATTCCAGTGAGCCTGGGTTGTTTTTATGGTAAAACAGGATCATTTTACACATAGAAATCAGTTTGTGTACAAGCTGTTCATTTGTGGTGCACAAACCAAACATGTCAGATTATTTGAATGCACCTGGAAAAAAAAGTCTGCACTTGTGACCCTTTTATTTAATCTGTACAAGCAAAAAAGCCCCAAGATGCTGTGAACATCAATGCATATATCAAAGTAATAGGCCTCCTCTGCCAGTATGTCTAGAGCTATTTGTAGCCTGTGTGAGCTAGCAGAATCTAAACCAATTACAGGCTTCCAGGGCTTTAGCTTTTAGCTAGAGAAATTGAATGAAACTTCAATATAGGAAGTGGCTTCTGATCAGTTGTGACTGAGTGCACCTAAAGATTCTGTCTGTCTATCCATCCTTCCATGTCTTACCTCTCCATTCAGGAAACAGTAGAGCACAGCAACCACAAAACCCTGTTAAAACAAGTGAAAGCAACTTACTGATACTGTATGTCACTGTAGGTACAATGAAGGCATTACACGTGGGAATGACAATGTGCTAAATGCCTAGAGATTCCTACCAGACTGTCTAGTATGAATGTGGCCTAAAAAATATGGGTTGGCGAGTCCTGTAGCAGATATACTGTAAGAATATTTAACTAACGGGGACAAACCCTTCCTGAATTCATGCCAGTCATTCTGGTGGCTCTGCCCAAGAATGTTAAAATTGGGGCACTTTTTTGTCCCAAGGACTTATTTTTATTAAAACTAACAGATTTTTTTTCTTTTGTTACATGAAGGTCACGTTTAAAACTGTATTGAAAACTTTCTACCATGCCTTCATCATTTTTTTCTTTTTTAAAAATTTTTATTTTGTTGCTTTACTCTTTTCCCAGACCCAGCTTGTTAATATTCACATTATAGGGAATTGTTTTTTCCCCATAATTAATTTAATAATAAATAATTTACATAGTTATTGTATAGAAATTGTTTTAATATATATTCGAAATTACGACGTCCCAGACCCAGCTTGTTAATATTCATATTATAGGCAACTGTTTTTTCCCCATAAATAATTTGATAAAAATAATTTACATAGTTATTGTATAGAAATTGTTTTAATATATATTCGAAATTACGACGTCCCAGACCCAGCTTGTTAATATTCATATTATAGGCAACTGTTTTTTCCCCATAAATAATTTGATAAAAATAATTTACATAGTTATTGTATAGAAATTGTTTTAATATATATTCGAAATTACGACGTCCCAGACCCAGCTTGTTAATATTCATATTATAGGCAGCTGTTTTTTCCCCATAAATAATTTGATAAAAATAATTTACATAGTTATTGTATAGAAATGGTTTTAATATATATTCGAAATTACGACTTTGACTACAGTTGTGGCAACTGTTTTTTACTAAAGATTTTGAAAAGTTAATGTATTTATCTAATGAGGAGATACATAACACACAATTGGTAACTTTTTACAGTAAGGTTCAATTTGTTAACATTAGTTAACTACATTATTAACTAAAATTAACAAAGATTAATAAATACTGCAACAAATGAATTGCCCATTGTTATTTAATGCTAGTTATTGCATTAACTAACATTAACTAAGTGTCTTTTCTAATCAAGCTCTATTAATGCATCTGTCTATCAAGCTCTATTAAAAAATGTAATTTTTCACCAATTTCCTTTAAAGGGGTCATATGATGCTGCTAAAAAGAACATTATTTTGTGTATTTGGTGTACATCATTTGCAAAGTGGTGGAAATGTCCATGACCTTAAATTGAATAAACTAGTGAGAATGTGAAAAGTGTTTATAAGAGAGTTTATTTCCTAAACATCCACAGGGCAAAAGTGGCCACAGTTGAAGAAACACCCAATTATGCCATTAAAAAAAACAATGGCCAATAGCTAAAGTGTGCAAGACAGAGATTCTCTATGGAGACTGTTTGAGGAGCCCTGAGCAGTTCTACCAGACATCATTAAACTATTCTGCTATCTGAACAACAGTGCTACGATTAGCCTGAGAGCATTTCCTGTCACTGGCGACTATTGATATTTGGGCTCTACTTTTTGTTTTCACAGCTAGTTTGAGTGATTAAATCCTCAGACGTACCTGAAATGACCCAAGAATGAGGTCAAACACGAGTCTTAGCTCAGTTTTTATGTTCTCAGGAATGAAAGCGAATATGATGAAGTTTATCCCAAAGAGTGGAATCAACAAAAGTGTGGATTTTGCCAGCCTCCTATAGAAAAGAAGAAGAAAAAACATGACAAACAGCTTTATGGGATACTTTCCTCTCAGTCATATGCACACAGAGCAGGGCAGAGAATGATATCATTACTAGGTGATATCAAAAAGCATATTACTGGAATAACAACATAAGTGATGCTGGGTAGAAAATTGCAGGTGCTTAAGAATTGAGTCTTGTTTTGTGCGAACTGCACAGTGGAGAGCTACTTAAGGACAAAGGACATTAAATCATCCGAACAGGGGCGGAGAGAGCCAGTGACATTTTATATGATGAGATTGCAGTGCAGTGGGTTCTCGTTCGCTGCTGTAGAGGAAGTGGAAAATATCCCCATATTTTATGCCCATGTTAAAATTACATAAGCTAAAATGTTTCTCATGTACCTCCAGTCCTCATCCTACCAAAAAGACCAGAATAGTTGGTCTACAGAAGAAGTTGTGATTTAGATGCTGGTGTCCCCGTCAGCTTAACCGACAAAACTCCTTTGGCCAACCAGATTTCATTTTCTGCTGGTTTTGCTAATTAGCCGAAGGCTGGTCCACCGACTAGACCAGAACTTTCAAGCTTTAACCAATTTGGACCAACATTTAAATGGAAATTTCACCCAAAAATGAAGAAAATCAGCCATTATCACTTTCTTTCACCCATGAAAGATGTATAAATAACTTGCTTTCCATTCTTTTCCATTCAATTACAATTAATGTAAATTTCAAGCTTCAAAAAGAATGCAAAAAAGTATTATAATAAAAGTGACTCATTTGCTAGATTCCAAGTCTTCTGAAGTCATATGATAGCTTAGAGTCAGGAAAAGATATTTTCAGAAATTTAAGTCGCTATTACTGTATAGTCACAGGTAATCTCCTTTGCTGCAGTTCTCGATTCTCATTCACATTTTTCAAGACGTCTCACACTAGGTGAACATCTCATTTAAAAGAGTAAAATCTCCTGTCGTGCTGCACAGAAGAGAATTAGTCATGAGTTCGGAGTGAGATGAGGGTGAGCAAATGATGACAGAATTTCATTTTTGTGTGAACTATCCCTTTAAATTTCATGCTGGTCCTCTCAGCAGGGTGAGGAGATTAAAGAGAACAAATTATAGAATTACTCTTATTTGAATGCAAAAATCTGTTTGAATGGGGTCCAAATACTTACGAATATTGGTTTGATTCATTTCTCCCAATGTCAGGACAGTTGATCTTCTGCCGCAGTATCCGAATGATACAAATGAAGAGGATAAAGTTCATCTGTTGTTGGTGACAAACAACAAAATAGCAGGTGTTTTTATTTCGAAGAGCGTCATTTCATGACTCAGTGCAAATTACTGAAATCACTGAGGGGTCATAAAGCCAATGGTTCCAAAGCACAGTGTTTATATGTCTCAGAGAAAGCAGGGACTGGCATCTATTAGCGAAAGTACAGAACAAAACTACCTCCATAAGACGGCAGCGAGACAGACAACATTATCTCTAAGTAGACGAGATGGACTGTGTTAAGACTGTTTACTTTCTGACTAGCAAAAACAAGCATTAACTGTGCAATAAGCATGTCGGAGTAGGGGAGGATGAGAAGTGTTTCAGTTTTCTGGCCTACCATAGCAAATCCCCAACACCATAAATAAATCTGCATAAACATTCCACTAGACTGACAGATTTTCTCTCTGTCATTCTCTCTCTCAAGTGCATCTTTCTTCCCTTTAAATCTCTCAAAAGAAAAGCCATGAAGAGCTTCTAAGAGTGTTTTTCACACCTTTCAGCCCTTATTGATATTTCATGTATATAATAAATCCCTAGAGAGATAACATCGCCTGGCACATACGTCAACAGTTTTGTGTGTTACTAAGATCTTAACACTCAGCACTAATCAAATCCTTATATTGTAGGCTAAGATTTATACAACAAGCAGCCAAAACACAAAGTGAAACTCATGAGAAGTTTTCAGAATAATTATTAAGAGCTTGCTCACAGATATATATATATATCTAATAATGTTGTGTTAGTTTAAAGATTTAATTTTATTAATTTTTTAAATAATTATTGGAGGGAAATTATATTGTTTATGTAGAGCAGCCCTAATAAAGATCATGAAAATTGGCTATTCCTTTAGGGAAAAACAAAAGTAGACAATATATATAAAATACTAAAGAATAAAAATTATACAAAAATATATATTTTTTTAAATATTACCAACATAAAAAGGAGAAAGCTCTAATATATATATAAAATCTAAAAGAATACAAATGTATTAAAATATATAGAAAAACAAAAATAAACACATTTCTTTTATTTTATAAAACATTATAATTTAATTATAAAATACATAAAACATGCACTAACGATATATAAAATTAAAATTGATATATAATAACAATCAAAAAAATATAAAACTATAATAAAACAAACACATAAGAGAAAGACCTAAAATATATATAAAATATAAAATGATAAAATATACTAAAGAATGAAAATATATTTAAAAAATATATATTTTTTAATTAAATGCAATATATTATTTTTTATTGAAAAATATATTATTTATATAAAGAATAAATAAAAAGAAAGCACTAAATATATAATATATAATGAATATAATATACAGTATGCATTTTACAAGGGACACAGTGTTTTTTAGGTATTGTAACTGGACACCATTTCTTTAATGTTTACGCTAGCAGTCAGTGAAGATGGATGAGATGTGTCCTAAAGTTGAAAGTATTGCCAGCAAAGGCCAGACTTAATTGGGACTGCTGCAATTTATTTAACAAATAACTGACATAATAACTAAGACATGTACCTGTGGCTCAGTGGTAGAGCATTGCGTTAGCAGCGCAAAAGGTCGTGGGTTCAATTCCCAGGGAACACACATACTGGTAAAATATGTATAGCCTGAATGCACTGTAAGTCGCTTTGGATAAAAGCGTCTGCTAAATGCATAAATTAAATTAAATTAATTTCTCAGAAAAAAATAAGGAATAAAATACATAAATTCTTCACAGGTTAGACAGGGGAACCTAGTCGGGCATACCATGAGTAACAGAAATCATAACTTTCAATAATCATAGTAATGGTGACATATCAGATACTCTAGGAGTGAAAGGACATCTCACCAGAATTGAAGCTAATATCGGGGTTTTGATAATCCACCAGAATGGGTCGGAATTTTCAATTATATCCCAGCATCTGGAAAAAAAAAAAGGCAAATAAATGTCATGTATACATTTTTGCTTGCAATGACTAAGTATTTATGTCTTGATTTTTACATAAAATCATTGAAGGCTTTGACTGATGCATTAATCTTACCCGACATCATTGAAGTAAGCTTTGGCAAAGCTCCAAGCCATGATGAAAATCGTTGGACCTCCTGTAGTGAGGTGAAATGAGAGTGTATTTCAGTCAGTACATCAGCGGCTGCTGTTTTACATGGCTCACTGACATAATCATTATGTCAAATGTTAACAAAAGCAGGTTAATAAAGAAACAGATGCACATACGACACCTACCCCAACCAATCAGAATGTACCACCAGAAGTACTTCCGCTCTGAGAAGAAGGAGACGGCCAGCAGAGCATGAAGGTACAGACCTTCGACTAGCAGCCAGAAGAAGCTTGCCATAATGCAATACTGGAAAAAGACAATCACAGCTTTGCAGCCAACCTGAAAATCAAAGACGGATGAAATGAGAATGGAGAACCTTTGAGTTCTCTGAGAAGTAGGGACATCCTGACATTTACCACATTGATAAAAACAAATTGTAAAATGCTGCAGAGCAGCCACTGTATATGCAAATGTTTTCCACAAAAGCGACAACCTTTTTGAATATAGCTGCAACAATGATGATTTCGGATATCTCAGTGGTTCCCAACCCTGGTCCTGGAGGCACACCAACTCTGCATGTTTTGCATGTCTCCTTAATCAAACACACCTGATTCAGCTCATCAGCTCATTAGTAGAGACTTCAATACCTTAAATTGCTGTGTCAGAGAAAGGAGACATGCAAAATGTGCAGTGTTGGGGTGCCTCCAGGACCAGGGCTGGGAACCAGTGGGATATCTCATTCTAAAGAAATCACTTCTTCATTCAGTAGTTTCTAATTAAATAACTACATCATACATATATTACGTACTACCATTGGGAGGCATGCTCCAGGCTGATATTCAGATGAAAAACAAATATTTTTATTTAAAATTTTATTTTGCATTACGTCTTCAGGAGACATAAAAGGTAATCTGTTTCTTATAAATGTCAAATCATTTAATTAAAAATTACAAGTTGATTTGCAATATAATTAGCAAATTTATATATGTGTATAGTAGGCCTATATATATTACATACCCTAATCACTGTAGGTAATTATGCATATGTCACGTATTGCCTAGTGCTCGCCTTTTTTGGGTTCCTTTGACTTCCAAAATAGCAATTTAAACACTGGTGATAGGCTGTCATTAAAGCAGCGGTTTATTTGTGTAGAAACTGTGGGAGGTTGAGAGGAGTTTGTTGAGGGTGGACAGTGAGACATGGCAGGCAGACTGCAGGAGAACTATAAACAAACACACAGCAATGAAATCAGACAGGAGGGTGTAAGTGGCTGAAGGTGAAAAGGAAAAACAGAGCAAAGACCCAGCATCACGCTGAAAATGCCATGTCCTCCTGCTCAAGAGCAGAATGAATTAATAATGACTACTAACTTCTGACTGTTCAATACAAACAAAACCATCATGCTGAAACTGTGGATGTGGTGCTGCACAACAGTTTGAAAACAGTTAATGAGCTGTGATGTCCATGCCAATAAAACTACAATATAGGAATGGACATGATGGTTCACTAGTTTGAAACCGAACTTGCTAAAGATTAACAAGTCGAGTAGTTGTTTAGACACCCACCTTGATTTTGAAAGTATGTAGTTTTGCACACAACAATAAAACTCTGTCTTTCTAAAAATACTTCTTTGAGCTCCATGATCCGGGGATCAAAGATTCTCAAGATTCACACATCTAAAACCCCGTTCCTCTCTGCAACATGCTCAAAATGAGAGTGCATGCCTTACAGCCAGGAGAAAAGAATTGGGTGGATGAAGCAATCGACAGTTTAGACAGCAGAAGGCTCTGAATGATGCTTTCTGCTTTCGGGAGTGTAAAATGAGGCAGTGCAGGATGAATGGATCCGACTCATAGTTCTAATGCGCACAAATCATCCCAAATTACTCTGAGAGCCGCAGCCTCTTGCTCAGGGCACACAATCCCTGAAATAGATAGAAAGCTTTCGCTGCAGGCTCGACCACACAAATGGCTAACAAACACCTTCTGCTGAGGCGAACCTCTCAACAGCTTTTTATCATGCATTTTTTATGTATCATAGATAAAACCACTGCAACTAATTCTTTTTATAAAGCTGTTTTCTGGCAATCAGTCATTCTGTCTTTCCCCATGGGCCTACTGTTATTTAAAGGTGAGAATAACGTTAATAAGGCAGCTTGACACATAACCTAGCTGCGAATATTCACTGATTGCAAAGGAGATTAGTAATATTTCACATGCAGATAAAGTCTTTAAAAGAGACAGATGTAAGATTTTTATGGAGCACTTTTTAACTACGTAGTTCTTCATAAAAATGTAAGGATTAATGTCCTCCAATTTGAAATCTCAAAATGTGACTTTACATCTCTTAATCAATAATACTTCATTTCAACAACAACAACAACAAAATTATATCTCATTACTGTGAAATTATTAGTATGAAACCCTGCTTCCTCTTCAGAATAAAAAACAACAACAAGGTAATTGTGGCTTTTTATCTTTCAGTTGTGACTAACACAGTGACTTTATATCTCATAACCACAACTTTATTAGACTTTATATCCCGCAGATATGACTTTAAAGCTCACAATGTGCCTTTATATCTTCCAACTGTGATTTTTTATATCTCGTAATCACAACTTTATTTCACATAACTGTGGCTTTATACCTCACAATGTGACATTGTCTTGTAATCACAACTTTATTTTGCATAATTGTGACTTTATATCTCACAATGTGCCTTTATATTTTCCAACTGACTTTATATCCCAGAATTGAGACTTTGTCATAATAACAACTTTATTTCATATAATTGTGACTTTATATCTCACAATTGTGACTCTGTCTCAAAATTTTCAATAAATAAATAATTAAATAAGTAAATCTTTATTTTTCTATCACAGATGGATAGAAAAATGTATCTGATAAAGACTCAAAAAAAAAAAAGACCTAAAAAATGGTGAGAGCCACTGAAAAGCATCATGGAGAGGATGTAATGGATCCATAAAAGGCTGCCCTTGCAAAGAGTTTTGAAAGAGGAACCTGTTGCTTGCCTATTATAGTATCTTGCTTGCCTGGTCTACAATGCTTGAAAGCTTGCTTGTAATTTTGGCAAGAGAAATAAAGCCACAATATGACTTTGTGATCACAAATATATTTCACATTTTGACTATATCTCACTTATATCTCATTTTTTAATCATGACTATTAATTATTTCTCACAGTTGCTTTACAGTATATCATAATGTGACTATTCAATTTCATTTTATACTCTAAGGTGGAAAAAGCTTTCATATATATTTTCACAACATTTTGTCAAATGTTATAGATTGATTGATTAATTGATTTTGTTCTACATAAAATAGTCATATGAGTCTGGCGTGACATACATTCACAAATGACCTGTGAAAAGAACGTCTCCATTAGACTGTCCACATTTCGACATGCACATCCTTTGTGCCACAGCGTTTTACTTTCACTGTAAAATCACTGCAAAAAAGTACATTTTAAAGATGCATATAATCTTTTCAGAAGTTGTGTTTAAAATCCATCTGCTTTAAAATTGTAAAGAGTCAAAAGCTCAGTTTGAAAATGCATTACACTTCTGAAGATTCCACAGATGGCCTTGATCTATAGCAAATTCCTGCTCAAACTGCAGACATTGACAGACACCAGATCTGAACACTGGACACGTGTTACAGCATACTCACTCCATACACTGTGATAAGGAGCCATGTTTTCATTGAGAGCTTTATGCTTCTTTGTCAAGCTCAGTCAATAGTCATCTCAACAGCGGTGTCATCTCAGAAAACGTCCTTCACCATTACTAGCAGTCAGACAATTATTGCCACAACCCTGCTAAATACAGTGAAACTGATTTCTCTTATTTTAATAGAATACTAAACAGCTAAAACCAGCATGAATTGGTCCAGGTCTAGATGGAAACCTGCAAAATGTATCTGTTTTTTACTAGTTTTACTAGTTTTGCTGGTTTACTTGCATGGTCTAATTTTTATTTTGTCGCTGTCACTCTTTTACCTGCTTTTTGCTAGTTTTACTAGCTTGGATGTTTTACATGTATGGTCTAACTTAAATTTTTCCTCTGTCTTTCTTTTACTTGTGTTTTACTAGTGTTGAGATTTTACTTTTCTAATTGTAATTTTGTCACTGTTATTCTTTTACCTGCTTTTTACTAGTTTTACTAGTTTGGATGATGGATGTTCAACTTGCATGGTCTAATTTTAATGTTGTCACTTTCACTCTTTTGCCTGTGTTTTACTAGTCTTACTGGTTTTGCTGGTCTACTTGCATGGTCTAAATTTTATTTCGTTGCTGTCACTCTTTTACCTGCTTTTTACTACTTTTACTAGTTTGGATGTTTTGTATGGTCTAAGCTTAATTTTACCACTGTCTTTCTTTTACGTGTGATTTACTAGTTTTACTAGTTTGGATGTTCCACTAGCATGATCTAATTTTAATGTTGTCATTTTCACTCTTTTGCCTGTGTTTTACTAGTCTTACTATAGTTTCGCTGGTTTACTTGCATGGTCTAATTTTTACTTTGTCACTGTCACTCTTTTACCTGCTTTTTACTACTTTTACTAGTTTGGATGTAGGCATGGGCCGATTATCGGTTTCAAGGTATACCGCGATTTGAAAATTTCACGGTTTCAAAACCACTAATATTTTCCGTTATACCGGTCCTGCGGTATGCGCTGTTTTTCATGTCTCCTCAAAGACTGAAAGTGTAGGAATCCCTCAGGTTGAGTGCAGTGTAGAGAGTAACACGACCCTCCTCCTCCTGTTGGTGCGAGCGAGCGGTCAGTCACGTGTGTGTAGGATGGCTGAACTTAAGGAACTGCCCCTGGAACTTACGCGAACTTTCGGCAACCGGCCGTTTTTTGTCTTATTGCAGCTTGTCTCTGTTCTGGACTTGCACAAACTGCAAAACAAATTGTATTGTGTATTTTTTTGTACGTTTTTTTAAAATTTGTTTTACCCAGCCATTTAAAAATAACACATTTTAGAGCTCTAACGACAATACCATGATATTTTTGCTTAAGGTTATCATACCGTCAAAATCTCATACCGGCCCATGCCTATTTGGATGTTTTACTTGCATGGTGTAATTTTAATTTGGACTGGACAAATTCTGCCGAACCAAAAAAACAAAACAAAAACAACTCACAAAAACCACAGCATCTACCCGATGCTTCTCTTTCTTTTTGGAATTATTGAATGAGAAGACACATTTCATTATGTATTTTCAAATGCCTATGTTTAATTCCATTAATTAGGCTATAACATTTCTAGTAGGGATGCACCGAAGTATCAGCCGCCGATATTTATCGGCCGATTTTTGATTATTTTAAAGCCATCGGCATATCGGAAATAGCATGAATTAAAACTTATGAATTAAAAGAAAGACGAAATAAATCGCAACAAGAACAATCAAGATTTTTCTTGTAATAAAAAAAGACAAAATTAGGCCTACAAAACGAATTCTGAATGATGTTTGACAGTGAACGCATCTCCACTGTATAGCCGCAATCGCTGGTGTCAGTCGCAAAATAAACATTTAAAAAAATCTTTGTGAAAACGACTGGCAACGACTGGTTCTTGAATTCTAAGATTATAATCTTTAGACACCCCACATTATGCGACTTTTTCTGACGACTGCAAACAGCGACTGAGCTCAACTGGAACAGACCCTGTCCGACTGGGCACGATCCGTCGTCAAGACCAAATTCCATTCATAATTGGCCTGACAGACGTGTAGTGTGTTCTCGGCTTTACTTGCATGGTCCAGTTTTAAATTTGTCGCTGTCGCTCTTTTACCTCTTTGCTTTTCAGCTTGCATGGTCTAATTTTAATGTTGTCACTGTCACTCTTTTGCCTGCTTTTTACTAGTTTTACCAGTTTGGATGTTTTACTTGTATGGTTTAAGTTTAATTTTGCCACTTTCTTTCTTTTACTTGAGTTTTTGCCGTTTTAATTGCATGGTCTAATTTTAATGTTGTCACTGTCACTCTTTTACCTCCTTTCACACCTGAATTTCTGTTGGTTGGCTGGTGCTTGTATGGTGCTGGTTTAAGCAAAACCTAGCTGATGAGACTAGTCGGCTTTGGTCCTTGTGGACTTTCAGCAAGTGTTATTAGTTAAACTCCTAAATAACATTGGTGGGACACTAGTAAACCAGCATATATAAGCTTGTCAGTACAGTAGTGTAAAACTAGCACAAACCAAATACCCTGAGGCACCAGTGTCAAAAAATGACCCAAAATTCACATAGCATCTTGTGATTTTGCAATGTTGTGAAAGAAAAATCTGTGAAATTGAGATAGCTTGAGGGGCTACAGCAATAACAGTGGGAGTACATGCCATTCAGAATAACTGGAACAAGCATTTTGGCAAGCTGGTTCAAACAAAGGTCACCCACAGCAGTGAATTCAGCAGCAAGTGTGAAGTTATGCCCATAGATGTTTAGCAGCAGACATAACAGTCGAGAGGCCCAAGACCAGCGAGTATGAAAAAATGTAAACGTGATCAGCTGGGATAGACTATATTTACGCTGATTACTAACACTGCTAGATAAATACTTGGTTTGGTGCGTGTGGATGTCACATGGTTTGCTCATTGAAACTATTACAGACTCCTGAGGGATTTATTCAAAATTAAATAAATAGACTGTGCAATAATAAACTTACAGAACCAGTGGAGCAGTTGTCAGACTCTTGAATAACATCGTAGAGCACCGCATCTTTGACAAAGACGGCGATGGCTTTCAGAATGAAGGACACAAACAGGTGCATGTGGATGTAGTTCCGCGTGCAGTGGAGTCTATTACAGACTCCTGAGGGATTTATTCAAAATTAAATAAATAGACTGTACAATAATAAACTTACAGAACCAGTGGAGCAGTTGTCAGACTCTTGAATAACATCGTAGAGCACCGCATCTTTGACAAAGACGGCGATGGCTTTCAGAATGAAGGACACAAACAGGTGCATGTGGATGTAGTTCCGCGTGCAGTGGAGTTTCCTGAGGGAATACAAGGAATACAATCAGCCACGCTCACGGACTGAATCTAAAATATGTTAAGCCTGATTGAGAAGTCCCCTGCCCCCTAATTACACCCTGTCCTTGGAACTAATAACGGAAAAAATGACAGCTAATTACACTACAAATGAAATCCTAATTGAGCTTTCTGGTCTGTGTAAGGGTTTCGTTAAACAGATAATTTGCTCCATTGTGTTGTTGTCCATTTCACACGCATTTGGTAAACATGGGAATTCACAAAATCTGATTCATTTTATGTCCAACATGCTTATTTAATATTATCAAGCTATGGCAGGCAGTCAAAATACTGACTGTACTGAATCTACTCTGTAAGTCATACGGGTTTGTAGCAACATGAGAGTGAGTAAATAATGGCATAATTTTCATTTTATGGATAAACTATACTTTTAAGAACAGCTGCTTTATGCAAAATGCAAGTGTTTTTAAAACAGAGAGAGACTATGATATCCCAGAACACCCTGAACATGATGTCTTTTGTTTATAATGTCCATACCTCACACTAGTAAATGAACTGACACTTTGTTTAAACACTGGGTTTTCTCTGCGCTCTGGTGCAAAGAAAAGATTAATATTCTACAGTATGTTTTACAGTAATACTCTCAAATACTGACACATCTACAAAGTTGTCATGCTTTAGGGATTGTTAGTTTAGAACAATGCAAAATAATCACAAAAATGTGTTGGGACTATATTTTTGCACATAGATTGCTTGTTGCCCTATCAGAATAATCTAAATATATCTCATTCAGTCAAAAATTAGTCTGAAAGAAATGATGACTAAAACATATAGCGCCGCTCAAATGTTTTGGGTCTTTAAGAACTTTTAATGTTTTGAAAAAAGTCTCTTTCAGGACACATTTATTTGATTTAAAAAATACAGTAATACAGTGAATTATCATTACAATTTAGAAGAACTGTTTTCTATTTTAATATATTTTATGTTATTTATTAAAGGGGTCATATGATGCGATTTCAAGTTTTCCTTTTAGTCTGCAGTGTCACATGATCCTTCAGATATCAATCTAATTTGCTGATTTGCGGCTCAAGAAACATTTCTTATCAATGTTGAAAACAGATGTTCATCACTTTTGGAAACAGTGATGCATTTTTTTTCTTTGATAAATAGAAAGTTCAAAAGAACAGATTTTATATGAAGTATCATCTTTTTTTGTAACAACATAAAAATTTGATCAATTTGAAGCATCTTTGCTAAATACAGATATTAATTTCTTTTAAAAATCTTACTGACCCCAGTATTTTGAATGGAAGTGTAGGTCTCACAAAGTTAAATACATGATGGTTTTGCATTTTGTTTCTACTTGCTAGATTATATTACCCCAGCAGCCAGTTCCTTTTTATGAAAATCATGTTAAAATAATTTACATAAGCTTTTGTCACACATATCTCACCACATGAGGTTTTACAGTAGTTTCTTAGAATTAGTTTTTGATTTACGGTATTAGATGTTCATTCATCTACCTTCATTAATGAAGTCTTGCTTATGGATTGTAAACTATAATTTATATCAGCTTTGTTATAGTTATGTGGCCAGTAAGATGAATTCTAAACAATGTGCGGAAAAGTTACTTCACTGTTTACTTTAAAAATGTAATTGTTTTGATCCTGTGGCAAAAGCCTGATGAAATGGGCCAAAAATATTATACATTACAGCAGGTAAAATCTTGCTTATCCAGCTCCTAGTTTGGATATTTGAAGAGGTTCACTGAATATGGATAATAGCATGCCAATATGAAACAGTAATGAGGCAGTGTTGTTATCTTTAACAAACAAAAAAATTAATACAAATAAATAAATAGTTACTTGAAATAAGGCTGAAATAGAATAAAATATATACATTTGATGTAAAATGTTTCCTTGGCAACAAATTTAAATTATTAATACAAACTATAGTAGTATATAAATAATACTAAAATGACATTGGATTGACAGCCTGTTATATTTCCAGTATTGTTTGAATGTTTATTCCATTCTCAAAACACAACCCAAGGAAAATAATTTCTGTCATTGTTTCTTTAAACGAATCTTCTAGATTCAAAACAAAATAGATTTTGTTTGCAAGTGCATAACTGTAGATTTTTGCTTGTAGATTTTTGCTATTCATCAGCATGTCACGGATGCTTTTAACATTTACATAGTTTAACATTGATTGAACCCAGTTACAAATAGGATTTATTAAAATACAGCTATTGAAGTTTTATATAAGTTGCAATTCTCATTGCATAACATCGCAATTCTCCAGAACTGACTATAACTTCACATTTTTTGAGTTAAAGGTCAAATCCCTGTGTTTCCTTTAACCTAGCACTCATGCACAGCTATGTCGTCTCCAGTTTACTCATTTCACATGCTGTGATTTGACACTATCAGCATGATCTTACAGGCCTACAGTATGTTGCGTCTCTAGTGTGTGGCCATCTGCAAGATCACCTTGACATACCGCTGACAGATTTGTACACTATTAAATTTTTACCAAGTGTTTCTTGGTAAAGGCACAATTTAATTAGACCACAGACTGTTTCCACCAAGCAAAGACAACTTGTGACCTGAGTCATTCAGTGGAGTGTGAGCAAGTGTTCAAACTGGCAATAATAACCTGAGGTGTGATCAGGTCTTCAGCCCCTGTCAGGCTGAAATCCCACATCAGACTGATATCCTCTCAGCTAAGACTGCTTAAGCCTGCAGCTCGAGTGCAGATAGTGTTAATAGACAGGATTAGGACTGATTACATTGCTGAAGAGCTGAACATGAGCAGCTTTATCGAGGAGTAGTGCTGCTCTGCCATACTGGTGGCACATGAACATTATTACTGATGGAAATTACAGCATTTGTGGTGGGATGTGGATGAGCTTAGAGTTGGTAATCAGAAGGAGAGAGCTGTGAACTATCACAATTGTGCCCTTAAGCAAAGCATTTAACCCCAGGATGCTCCGGGGAGGACTGACGCTGTGCAAGTTTACAGCAAAACTTCTGCACTTTTATAGGTCATCCTCTTATGCGTTTGGTAAATAAATCAAATAAGGGAAGATGCCCTCTTAGAAAACAATGTGCATTTACTTTTAAATTGTAACATATTTAGATATACATGTGCAGGATGATGATGCATCATCCAGTGTGTTATTATAGGAAATAAATAGAAACATTTGCTAATTTAGTTGTCATAGAACAAATGTAAAAATATTTAAAGAGGCCATTTTACCCAGGTATGGTTACCCAGAAGGCAAGACTTTTGATATAATTCTTATTAATATTTCTATATATTTTAGTGTCATTAATGTAAAATACTAAATCAACTATTCTATTTACATTTTTATTTTGACAATTTAGTTGAATAATTGAATAACCAATGTAGACAAAGAAGAAGCCCAGTAAAAGTGATTCATCAGAAAGGTAAAATTATTCTATGACTTATATACAGGCATAAGAATATTTACATTTAATTACCAACATAATAGCAACACTATGAATGCAAATTGAATGATTTCAACCAATCTATGTAATTCATGGAAATACTGAACAATAACCCTTATTAAGTACAATAAGTATTAAATTTAAAGGTCACATATTTGACACCTTTCTGGAGTTTTATTTTAAGTCGTAAATAGAAACACCGGTAATATGTCCGGCCTTTGAGCCGAACTCAGACCCCGAATCGGCGACGACAGGAGACGCTTACAACAGGATGTTTCAGAATGGTAATTCATGTTTTGTTTTTTCAAACACCGAATACAGTAAATACAAACCTGACCAGCCAAGCGTTTTCGATCACGCGAACTTGAAGACACTTGTACAAATGCGGATGGGTGACATGAATGGAAATGATTCCAGATTGGCAATGTAGTATTTGGTTTCTGTATTCTTTTCCTGCGCTCAAACCTGCCAATCTAAAGGATCAAACGCTGTGTATGGCGTTTGAGGTAATTTGTGAATTAGCATAGACTTATAGTCTAAATAAAACAATTTGCAACTGTTACTATTATTACACTTGCTTGTTATAGAGTGTGTGACGTCACGTGCACTACGGTTGATGCAGTTGTCACGGCGACCGTCACAGCCCTACTGTGCAATGATGTAGTTTAAGATCCTGACTGAACAGCGTTTTCTCGACATGTTTCCGTGTTGTTGTTGCTCAGCAATGGCATGGACGCGATGTTGTCTGGGGGTTTGGCAAAAGGAGAGTGGGACTGTGGGCAGTGCTCGGGGTGGTGACTGAAGGCGGTGACTGAGTAGTTCTGACGTCACCTTTTTACGGAAGTCACAACGGTTTGTGAAAAATCACAGCTACTTTATGCAGGCTGTGTGCATTTGACTGTGGATTGACTGTTTTGAAACTTATATGGTAGTTACATAGCACCTAGACCTCAGTTATCATGAAAAAAGCCAGGAAATTTCAGTTTTGACAATATGGGACCTTTAAAAATAATAACACTAGTAACAATATGCCACTTGGGGTCTTCTGTGCCAATTCTGGGGGACCATCTTACACCAAGGGTCTAAATTGATCTCTTTACTTCAAAATAAAAAAAACTATAATTTTTACTCCAAAAATCTAAAAACTCTGATGTGTTCATAAATCCCTTAATAACAAACAGACACAAAAAACCTCTGATATTCAACATAATACACTGTCATATTTAATAGACACTAAATTAGATCAGTTGACTTAAAAACTGTTTCGATTCACTAAATCTCACAAATGTTCATATTCAGATGAAACTACAAAATTAAAAATAGCACCACCAAAAGTGATGAGATTTGTACCGTCTATGGTCAAGATAAAAAATTAAGATGGGGGGGATCATTTTGGCCTGGGGTCATCTTACCTCATCTTACCCTATTAATATTGCATTGATTAGCAGGACCATATGTGACCTCGGACCACAAAACCAGTCTTAAGTGTCAATTTTTTAGGATAGGACAATATTTGGCCGAGATACAACTATTTGAAAATCTGGAATCTGAGGGTGCAAAAAAATCAAAATATTGAGAAAATCGCCTTTAAAGTTGTCCAAATGAAGTCTTTAGCAATGCATATTACTAATCAAAAATTAAGTTTTGATATATTTACAGTAGGAAATTAACAATATCTTCATGGAACATGATCTTTACATAATATCCTAATGATTTTTGGCAGACTCCCTTGTGGGCAACTCCTAGAGATACTAAAAGATTTAGAGACCACATTATTGGTCAAAACTTCTGCAGTGAGCCCAGTACAAAGCAATCTAACCCATTTACAAAATGTATCGCCAAAGCCAAAGCGTGTGAGCACCTCAAATAGATAGTGCCATTCGATGCGGTCAAAGGCCTTCTCTGCATCAAGAGAGAGAAAAGCCGTATCTATCCTAATGATTTTTAGCATAAAAGAAAAATCTATAATTTTGACGCATACAATGTATTTTTGGCTATTGCTACAAATATACCCCAGCGACTTAAGACTGGTTTTGTGGTCCAGGGTCACATATATTATGAGTAAATATGAGTAAGCTACCTCTATAGCAGTTACTATAATGAGCATGTCACCGCAGTGTGCCATGACAAAAATAAATCATCCACCAGAAGAGCATCATAAATAGCCTGATCCACAAATGCATGCAGTGTTTAATTCATACATAAATGATATTGCCTACACCATTTGAATGCTAACTTGGTGTTATTTAAAGGGTTTAAAACCGTGTTTATGGTTCACTACTGGGTTTACATGTTAGCACTAATGCCCACTGGAATGATTCTCTGATGGTGGGGAGTCTTGTTTGGCCAAGATGAAATGTATGTGTTGGAATATACATGTAAGAAAGCTCTTATCTCTGTCATTAGCAGACCGTTTTGCCTCTGGTGAGCTAGATCAATCACTGTAGTGTCAAAACGGATGCATGTTGTTTGCTGTTTAATCCTCGACAGCTTCAGTGATTCACTGACTCCATGACGCCCCATGGTGAATCTGGGGTTGGCTACAACCACGCATGAAGCACTGTTTTCTGTGTTTAAAGCCTGTTAACCATTAGCTTAATCAAAATGACATCCTTCAATGTGAAACATTAGTAGGACTCACTGAGCCCTGTATTTGACAGAAAAAAATAAATGTGAAAAAAGGCAAAAAAACGTATTAAGGATCAAAAGCATTTTTGTGTCTAGAAACATTCAAATGAATTCTGATAAATATTTTAAATTAATATTGTATTAATATTATTAATATTTATATTTTAACATACTTAATATTAATTAGTATTTTAAAAACATACATTTTAATAGCCACAAATGTATTCCACATTACATTTAAATCTCACTGACTTGTACCTTGTATTTGTACCCTGTTCTTTGACCCTGTTCATGCAGTCGATTTGTATAAAAAAGCAAATGTAATTACTGCCCTGTCAGTTCATTTCAAAGAGTTGTCAGTTAGGAAGGAACTCGTTTTCCTTAGAAATAATTGCCTTGGATAGAGCTTTAAAACTAGTTAAAGCAAGTACGATAGCATAAACATGACACATCTGGAAGTGCAAAACTATTTTTGCAAAAGAACATAATTCACCCCTGCACCATAGCAAGTACATGTTAGCAATAGTTTCAACAAACGTAGAATTTCTTACCTGAATATACAAAGTATGACAATGGCGGTGGTGAGAGAGATGAGAGAAACACTGTGCCCGATGGTGTAGCCGATCTTCACCGACCTAAAGAAACTATCCTGCAAAAGAAAAGAAAGAATACACGTTTACTAAATAGCACTGAACAGTTTAATTCTTCTTGAATCTTTAAATTACACTACTGTTGGTTTGAGGTCAAGATTTGTTTGTTTGAAAGAAGAAATTAATACTTTTATTCAGCAAGGACACATTACATTGAAAATAAATTTACAATATTACAAAAGATTACATATTTTAAATAAATACTGTTCTTTTAAACTTTCTATTCATCAAAGATCCCTGAAAAAAAACAATTCATGGTTGACACAAAAATATATGAAGCAGCACAACTGTTTTCAAATGTGATATTAATTAGAAATGCTTCTTGAGCAGCAAATCAGCATATTAGAATGATTTCTGAAGGATCATGTTTTTATTGTACTTTTGGTCAAATAAATGATGACTTCTTTCAAAAACATTAAAAAAGTGTAATGACTTCAAACTTTTATACAGCGTGTTCGGTATATGGTATCATTAAACATGCTTTCTAACAAATCATTCTATTAAAAGCAAGAAATATAATTTTTTGCGCTTTATGTGCAAATCTAAATTATTTTTAACAGCATACTGCTCTTAGTACGAATGACGACAGTGGGGTAATAACATGCATTCACAACCTTCATAAACACTACAGCTCAAAAACAAAACAACCGCAGTATGTGACTACGACTCAATGCGCTGCCTTTTTTGTCCACTTATGGGATCCTGATGTCTGAAAAGAATGTTTCTTTACTTAAGGCTATCTTTTTTGTGGTAAGAATGGGTACTGTGCTGTCTCTCCCACGCAAAGCTTTGCTAAAAGACTCACCTGCATAGAGCGTATTCAAATAACCCCCTCTATAGTCTTTGACCGAAGTTAAATATAAAAACCTGAACATGGCAAGAAGGAGCATCAGACACTCATCAACAAAAACATAAAATTCCTTTTAAGTCCCATGCCCACATATTTCCTGTGGGTCTGAGGACCGTGCGTGCTGATTACCCATCCTGTTGATGCGAACACATGCTGGGAAAGCTTTCATCAAAGGGCAAAGGTCATTTGCTCTTCACTTAACTACACTCTGCTCAAAAGATCAAGGTGTTTCATGTTATATAATATCTGCTTCAGTGATGGATTATTAGTATGTTTACAAATGCATCCAAAGGCTGACACCGACGTGCAACGCTAAATAAAGGAACTATTATGTTTGGACTTGTTCGTTTGCACTAGGCAATAAAAGGCTGGCTGGAAAAGCAGGCTAAAAGGTTGACTGAAAAAGGGTGAATGTTAAAGCTTGGGTTTTTTGGGTGAGGAACACTCAATATGACATGAGAACGATCGCTTTCTGCGAGCCAAAAGTTCAATACGTGAAGAGTCGGAGCATTGTGGTGTTGTATAATGCCAGTGGAGTTGAAAACACTAGTTTGACATAACTTTATTAAGATATTTTGCATGTATGGTGCTTTCTAAAGTCTCTCAACCACCTTCAGAGATGGTAAAGTACACTGAAAAAAAAAACGATTCATTGAATTTACTACATTTTTTAAGGTAAGTGGTGGCAATCAATTTATTTTAGCTACATTTAAATAAACAAATTTAGTTGACTAACATTCAACATATACTTTTTTTAAATGTAGCTAAAATAAATTGTTTGCAACCACTTACCTTAAAAAAATTCAGTATCATTTTCTTCAGTGTACACTGTAAAAACCTACATTTTGTTAACTGATATAATATACCAACTGGTGGTGGTCGAGGAGATTCCCCCCTTCTATGTAAAGCGCTTTGAGTACCCAGAAAAGTGCTATATAAATGTAAGGAATTATTAACATATTGAAGTACTAAAATCTGCTAATTTCCTTTATAATACACTGACAACTATTAAAAACACAGGTGGTAATGAGAAAACTATATGTAGAATCACAAGTAGATTTTTCACAATCTGAGTCAAAAACTAATCCATAGAAGGCACTTGGTGTCATAGACACAAATATAAAAAAAACATAATGTGACACTAAAATAACGAAATAAACATGAATTCAACAACATAAGACATAACATAAAACCCTAATGTACATAACTGATCAAAAAAGTAAGAAGAAACAGTTGTGACATACGTGAATGGTCACATAAAGGATTCTGGGAATGTCAATTCACAGTTTTTCAATGTAAATTATAAGATGGCTTGTTCTTTTTCACTTTCAAAAACTGTAAATTTAACAGTATAAAAACTAATGTAAAACTCTTTAAAAATCTGTTAATTGTTAACTAACAAGTTTTTTTTTTTTTACAGTAGGATTTTACAGTATTTTACCATTAAAATTACAGGTATGCTCATTTTATAGTGTACTTTGTACTTACATCGTCAACAGTGCCATTCAGATTATAGCCACAATGTATTGCGATTTCCATCGGGTCCATCTCGGTCCAGCCATCAGCAGTACAGGTCTTTGAGAGGTTACCTGTGTGAGAAATTTAAAGGTCATTAACCTCAAGATACACACACTGGCTACTCTATTTAGAAGCTGCATCTGTTTATTGCGCTCTCGACTTTAACAGAAACGCCATGAGCCCCGAGAGCTGGCATCCTGGAGTGTGTCCACACAATTAAAGTCAAACGGCTTTTTTGAACTAAAGTAGAGAAACACAGGCCACGTCAACCCTCTCACTGAGGTGTTTCTTGGCCCTTCTCAATGCACAATGTCACACTGAATGCAAAACTCTGCATCCAATCAATGCGCAAAGAGACCCAACTGAGCACTGTGGCTTACCGAGCACATTGTTTTGATCTGTGCTGTATACAAATATGAACAATGAATTATTGAGATGCTTGGAGGAGAAAAACAACATTTCTTGGGTCATACGATTTACCCAGTGTTGAGGAAGCTATGTGAAAGTAGTGTAGAAACAATTTTCAATCACAAATTGGTAGTAAATTTTACAGTTACGAAGAAACGTCAATTCACACATTGAATTAAAAATGAAAGTTTGAAGCAGAAAAACTGAAATTCTTCTTGTAAACCAAACTCTAAAAATTAAAAAAATATATATTTTTTGAAGTGTACTTAGCGTACTTAAGTGAGTTAGCTAAAATACAGTCAAAATACTGGTTGAAAAGGTAGTACACTAAGTTATGAACAAAATTAATTAACTACATTGAAGGTTTATTTTAAGCATTGTTTTTAAAAATAAAAAAATCATATATTTTTTGTAATTTAATTTTTAATTTTGTAATTTAATAAATAAATAAATTAGCTTTACCCTATCAAATGGTAATGTTTTACTAAATATAACAAAACATCCTAATTTATGTAACCAAATCAAAAACAGTAAAAAGTATTTAAATTAGTAAATACATTTAAAAAAAAAAATTTTTATGTGTTCATTCAACGCAACCAATTTATAAGAGTATGACATTTTTCAATGTTTTATACGAGAGAACAATTTAAGTTGAACCAATTCACTAAACTGAATCAGACCTTCCAACTACACAGTATGAGAGAGAGAGAGAGAACCATTTAAGATAAACTGATTCATTAAAATGAATCTGACTTTCCAGTTCTACATGTGAGAGAGAACTGTTTATGATGAATCGATTCACTAGAATGAATCAGACTTTACAATTCCATATACAGCACGAGAGAGAAACCCGTTTTATATGAACTGATTCATTAGAATGAATCTGACTTATGCATTTGCACTAAATGGAAAAGATTAGCTTGTTACTAGATAAGCAAGTAAAGTACTTTGAAACCAGCTACTGTTACACTACTGAAAATATAATTGAGACCAAAAAAATAGTAGTGTCCAATTAATTCTGAAAGAATAGATTATACCACAATCTGACTCATCCCAAAAACTTTTGTATAAGAACAAGGGAGACTAGGACTAGGTGTAGGTATCCCTCGATGATGATTCATTTAGAGACAGCATTGTCTTACGGTCCACAGAATTTGAAAAATATGATGTATACTTCAGGAGGAAGGACACTTAGTTCCTCCTCAGTGCATTCAAAGCGGGTCCCATGTTACAATGCCACGTATTGATCCAAAACAAACCAATCAATTTCACTCAGGCTTGAATTAAAAAGACTATGAAGGAGTTCCCGCGTGTGGTTTCTCTTCAGTGTGCTTGTTATGTGAACGCTGAAAGAAGCTGTTTCATAAATGAACACTGAATAGAGCTATACAATAACGTCTTCAAATGGAAACACTCTGTTAAAAAACAAAAAAATTACTTTCCAAAGGAACAAATGCCAGCAGAAATAACTTAAATGCGTCAAATCTATGCACAAAGACTACCTGTGCCTGCCCCGACAGGAAGTGACCTCCACCTATATAACAATGATGTCTGCTTCTGAATTAATCATATTCGCAGATACAGTACAAACCATTTTCCAAAAGTTGGAAGGATTTTTGTCCAATTACAAGAATTTTTTAATTATTTTTTTCCCCCACTAATATCTTAATGCACGTAGCAACTCACACTTTGGACTAAATTTGAAGGTGGCAAAAAAAGGGAAATGACAATAAGGTCTGCTTTAATATCTACTTGTTAAAAATTAACTGGCCATTGTTTTGTCTAGTTTTGGCCTCCAACTCATCCTGAGAAGAATCAAGTAAACAACATGAATCTGTACTAGGGTTGCAAAAAGGTGGAAAATTTCCAGTAAATTTCAGAAATATTCCAGAAATGTTTTGGTATATTCCAGGGATTTTTGGAAAGTTTACAGAAATTTACCAGATATTTTCCACCCCTTTCCAACCCTAATCTGTACCATTATTATAAAAAAATAAAACAACATTTTGCTTATCTTTTCCCCTTTTCTATATTCAGTGCCTGTCAAAATTGAGGGGGGGGCGGGGGTTGACTGATTTCTAATAGGAAAACATGGACTCTGTTTCTTAAACCTTTAACTCTAGACACAAGAAATTAAGAAAATAGTGTATTATCTCCCCTATAATTACCCAAAGACAACATTTTTGTCATTATTATATTGTGTCGCTTTAATAAGCTGTTGAGAGTTTTATTGTTCATTTAATGGGTATTGATCTGCTCATTCATCATTCGGAAGATGCACCATAAAAAGTCAATAATGGTAAGTACTAAACACAGCTGCAGTATGTCAAGGCTACAAAAGCAGCACTTCTCTGGTACTGTACGTGAAGGTTTCTGTGTCTGCAAGTTAACTGGCTGAATGGCTCATTAAGAAAACAGACCAAAATAAATGAATTGACGGAAAGCACAAACATTAAATTAATCAACAGGTTAATCAGCTAATGCAATGATTAATGAAATGATTAAGAAGTTTTAACATTTACTTGTGATTAACATCAATTTCTGTTTCTGTTACTGACAATTATACGGTTCACTTAGTCGACAATAAAAAGGAATAAAACAGCAGCCTGACAAATTATGGATCAGTAAAAGTGAAGCTATTGTAAGACACAGGATATAAACTGAAGATTAAGTGGAGTGAAGTGGAACTCAGAGAAAATGTAAATGTATATATATATATATATGTATATGTATATACTGTATATATATATATATATATATATCCATAAAGCCTATAAAAAAATTGTCTTAATGTATTTCACAATACTTCAGCATGTTATTCTTATTAAGTAAGGGTAATTTTTTAGGATTTTTTTACCCAAGCAAAATCTCTGAGAACCTGACACCTTGTAATTCTGGAGACTCCAAGAAGGTTGCAGTTCTGGAGACTAAATGTTTCTTGATTTCCTGGTTTTACATCTAATTCTTCACATTAATTCTTAAATCTTTTGCAGTTAACGTGTCTTTTCGTCTCCACCTGTTTTTTCTGACCCCGCTGTCCCAGTGAGCATTTTGCTGTCCAATGGTCATGTCTTAACTTTGCAATTTCTGTATTGCATAAGTTTTGAATATTTCTCATGAGGATTTAATCATTTTTAAATAAACCTCTTTTGTTAAACCTCTTTTTTGGCTCATTTTATCAGTAAAAGAAAACATGCCTAATAATTCTGCACACCTGAATATAAGGAGTTTTTCACTTCCAGCCTTCATGGACAATTATATATCACTTATAATTGATTAAATACAAAATCAGTAGTGATTATTAAGATTGATGTGGTTTGGAATTGGTAAAATGTGCTTGGAAAAAAATTATCATCAGAAGAATATCAGCGTGCTTAATAATTATGCACACGGTGTGACATATGAAAAAAATTCTGAAAAAAATAAAACAATCATAAATTGCATGCGTTAAATAAATTATCTTTCTCTTTTACAATCTTGCAAGCAAAATGCAAAAAAATCACAAGACAAGCTGACAGAACATTATCAGAAGAGACAAGACAAAAAAATAAAAAAAACAGGATTAAATTTTCCTTTGCAAGAGTGTGAAGAGCTGATCAGATAATCCCAACATAATAATAAAATGATAAATGATCCCATCTAAAACAATTTGAAAACGGTCACCTTCTTGAAATCCAGTTGACTTTCGACTTCTAGGTGCCTGATGGAAAATCTCTTTCCCATAATCCAACAGCACACAACATCTGAATCATAATTATTACCCACATGAAAAACAATATTTTAGCCTTGATTTGAATAAATTATAACATTAATAATGAAAGGTACAACATGCTTATCAAGCATGATTCTTTTTCACTCGCTATACTAATCCATCTAACACCTGATGCTACCCCCTGCTTTATTTGATATGCATATTGTTGTGATTATCAGAAAGACATGGATTAAAATCAGCTAAATTTAATACACTGCATTTATACAAACATGTTACTTCAACAAAAACCAGCACCTGAAAGCTTGTGTAAATTTATTGAAGGGGATGTTTACTCTTGGCTGTTAGTGTAAGCTTTGTTTGTCATGTAAGGTCGACGCCAACCCTCTCACATTTATCAACGTGTGCAAACACCCACATGCAATATATCCATCCTCACACATTATTCCAGTGGACCTCCGGCTTTGTCATAAGCCACAGAGATCCCATGAAGCAAATCCAGAATGCCACATTAATCCTTGCTTGGTATTGAACTACGGACAGACTTTTATCATTCTGAAAAGCATAATCTGTCCTTTCCCATTCAAGAGAGAGCATTACTGTGCTTATATATGCTTTAACTGAAAATCCATCAGAAATGTGTGGAACTTAAATAAAAGAAATTGCTCCTGAGTGGTATTTCACCATCAGCACTGGTACAGTATGTTTCATTTGCGATAGTGCCATTTGAAATGAACTATACAGGATGTTCGACTATATTAAGCTTTCCAATCATAGAGAAGCTTCATTTCAAAAAAGACACTGCAAATGGCATAGGAAATAATATATCACCTCACAGGAAGTGGAGATTAAGTCAGCGGTCACTGCAGTCCACCTGAATAGAACACGAAATCTGGATATAATAAATGTGATAAAAAAAAGTTTCAATGTTGCATTGACCTTGCATTGACATCA